GGCGGATGTACGGTTTCCGTGGAGCCGGGTGAGGCTGGACCGCGCTCCCCTGCCGCCCCCGGTGCGGTGGCCGAGGCTGCAGCCTGGAAAAGGGCAGCGGATACACCGCCGTGGCTCCTCCGGTGCAGGAGAGGAGAGGACAGCGGGGGGGGGGAGGGGGAGGTTACTGTGATGGAACTCCAGCGCTTGGACAGACAGACAGCCTGGAAATCCCCGCTCCTGGGCTGTACTGGCGCATTCAGTGCTAAAGGGCAGCGGCTGGAGGACACGCTCGCGTACAGCCAGTGCGATCGGCTGGGAAGCTCTTTCACTGCTTCTGCTGAGAGGGGAAAAAATAAACATGAAGAAGCTAGCGTAGTAGACCGGCCTGTGGCCTTACTTGTTACTTACTCCATACCTCATGTTCTGCAGGTTCAAAGCTGCCCGTACAACGCGAGTGCCGAGAGTTACATCTACTAAGTAATTGGCGTGGCTGCTGCCGTGCAGAGAGTGCGCACAAGTTAGTCCTGCTTCTTAAACTTGTGAAACGCCAGAGACTCCCAGCTTTATGCTGTGGATGCTGAGACAAACCAGGGGACAATCAAAACACTTCAGAAAGCATTTGACCCAAGCTAAAGTTTACAGCTTTTCACCAATTTCACGTGGTAGCAAGTGTTACCCTTAAAGGGGTCATGTCAGGAACACAATGGAGAGAAAGGCACGTGAGTGCTGATTTGGTAGGAACAGAGCTGACACAGCTTGCCCCCTTCGGACCTCTGTCCCAGTGAGGTGTCTGCCTACTCAGCTTCAGCTGCGCTGCCAAGTGACTCAGAGGTGAAACCCCCACGCTTTGCTCAGGCTCTCCACAAAGGGTGTCACACCAGAAACCCCAGAGGTGTTAGCAGGACTGAGCGGGACTTGCTCTCATGTGTCTCTGCTGAGCAGTTTAGCTCTTCAGAAGAAAAGGGATCCCTTCCTTCAGAAAGGGGTGTGGGGTGCTTTTTTTTTTTTTTTTAAAGGATTCTGAGTAAGCATTCGGTTTGTAGAGGGCTCAAAAAACCCCAAAGACCCTGCTGAGACTAAACCGTATATTTAAGTCCACCTAGCACAATTCATAACCGAACCAGATAAACTCTTTTCCTTGCGCATGGGAACTCATGCCCTTAGAAAGGCTTTTCTTCCCCCCATCCTTCAAGTCTTACAGATGGTAAGCAAAGCCGCCTATCTGACTGCAAGGAACAGAAGTGCAGTAGGGTCAGAGCAACACCATAAACTGCCGTCACACATTCACAGGATAAGCACTGTCATGCTTGGGAGCAAATTCCACAATGCATTAAATCAGGAAGCCTCCCTGTGAAACGGCTCAACAGATATCTTCTCTTCACAGATGCTTTTGCACAGCGGCAGTGACTACACACATACAACTCTACACGTATTTCAAAGGCTTTGAACTAAAAATCATTGAATCTAGGATCAAAATTAACACATCTATTCCCCCCCAGACCTGAATTAATAAAAAGCCTAAGAAGTGTAAGTTTGTAAAATTACAGCCAAGGCCTTTACACAAGAAAGAAGCAGAAACCTTCTGCCCAAGGTTTTTAGCTGGTATCACGCATTACCATCATGCCAGTTTTGCAATAACAGCACTAAAGCTTAGATTGCCCAGGGCAGCATAAGCATTATAGGCCAAACAGACCTTGCTTTTAGGCTCATGCCCCTTTCAACACCTGATACAGGACATGGGCCTCCAGGTCACCTTGGAGCCCCAAATACTTCAGAAAGACTCGATTCAGCTTTAGGCTGGTCTCATTATTTTGCAGACAGAGCTCCTCCCAGATTACCAACATCTCAGGGAGCTTGTGCTAACATGCAGAAACACCAGGAGAAAAGGCTAAGAAAGCCAACAGATAAATTCTTTCCAGCAAGACTGATACTCAAGTTCTTAATTTCTGTAATCCAACCAACTCTATTACATGAGGAAAAAGTCTAAGGTTCCACTTTATGAGCTACCTACACCCAATGAATCCAAATCCCTCTAACAGCATTGCACTTGCAGCTCAGTAAACAGATGCACCTGCAGGCACTACAGCAGCAGTGAATACAGAAGTCAGGTTCTCAAGAAAATCCACATACAGAGACTAATCAATTTTACCATTCTTTCAGCCAGAACATGCTCCTTTTGCTACAGACCGTCAGAATTCACATCAAAATGCATCACAATCCACTCTTGGATTCAACACCACACCGAAGGTTTTATTATCACCGGTTTCTGAAGCACTGAAACAAGTTCAGCTTTCCACCAAAACAGATAAAAGATGATTTAAGCATACACATTGCAGAGAAGAGTAGAGAAAAATACCTAGAGAATTCAACTCACAGACAAATCTCTTCAATACAGCGTGCTTAAAGAGAGCTAAAGGAACTCCCCAAACCCAGATACCGCAGACCAGAATGAGAAGGGGAAAACAAAACACAACCAAACCTAAAACCAGGTTACACTAAGCTGTCAGGAACAAGATGACCAACAAAATCACAGCCCAGGAAGGAAGAAAACCTAGACTGTAACTCTGGGTGAGAGAAAAACACCACCATAATACACAGCTAGCAGAAGCAAAAAACAGCCCAACAATAAGAAAGAGGTACAAAGAAGTAGCTGTTCTCCTTAGTTACACCCACCTCTCCTAGCTGCTCAAAAAATTTGCCTCCAGCACCTGAGTCACTCATCAGCATAATGGATTATTAATTAGATTAAATTAACTCTGAGTAAGGCCAGATGGCTTCTTTCTCATTCTTTCAGTCTGCAGTAATGATCTGAGCAACATCCCAAAGTGCCTTGAAGGTACTTGTCACACTTCGGACGCTTAACACTGGTAAAAACGAAGGCAATTAGAAAGTAAGAGTGTCTGTTTTCTGGGGCTATATCCATTCTCCAAAAGGTGCTGACAGTGACTATAGTCACAACACAAGGAAATGCAGTAGGATCGGTCTAATACACCCTGCAGGAGAGAGAAGGAAAGCTGGTGCTGTATGGAAAGCAGGCACGATTCCCTGCCTTTTCTCCCAGAGTTCTTGATTTGCTCCTTCGGATTTGTCTGCTTTTGGGATGCCACATTGATAATAACTGGAGAAACACCCCAATATGTTTTTAAAAACATTAAGTGTTCTGATGGTGGTTCATCAGCCACCGCAGGTACCTACATTAATACCAGCCCCCCCCGGGACTCTGCCTGTGATACTTTCCTGGCTTTATCTTAACATTGTCAGAGTTCACCCAAGAGCAAGCAAGCGTAAACAGCTCAAACCAGTCTTTATTCACATGCTCAGGGTGGGACAAATAAGCAAAAGCATGTGGCTGCAAAAGCATCGCCTTGCTTGGAGCGGGACGGGTGAGAAAGCAAACCATCACAGGGTCCCCTGACGTTCAGTCACCCTCTCCCGCTGGGATGACTGGTTTCCCTCCACCATCCCACTGTGTGACTCTCCACAGGCCTGGCCGGGGGCGAGGAACAGGATTCCTCCCCCAGAAGCACATGAGGAAGAAAGAGATTAAGACCCTTAACCGTGGGCGCATCCGTGAGCGACCGGCCAGACCGCTGTCACGGCAGATGATGGGGAGGAGGTGAAACCACCGAAGGAAACGTCCTTCAGGCGGCTACAGGGCAGGGCCGGCCGGGCTGCCGGGGGCCCGGCTCCGGCAGGGGGGAAGCCGGGAGCGGAGGGGACGGGAGGGACGGCGGGGGAGTGCGGGAGGCTGAGCACTAATCCCCTCCGCGGGGTGTCTGAGCTAAGCCCCTGCCTGGTAAAGGAGAGCAAACCAGAAAAGCCAGGACCGGGGAAAACCCCTAAAACCCCTTCAGTCGGGCCCCGCGTTTGCTCCCCTGCTCGCCTAACTCCCCCTGCGGCGGCTCCTTGAGCCCCCTCGGGGTCTCTGGGGTCTTTTCGCGGTCAACA